GCTCTCTCACCCTGAGGGGGGGGGGGGGTGAAGGTAGTGGAGCCCCCTCGATCTCTCTCTCTCTCTCTCTCTCTCTCTCTCTCTCTCTCTCTCTCTCTCACACACACACACACACACACACACACAGTGTTCCAAGCCCCTGTGCCCACAGCCAACCTAGAGCTGGGGACAGGGTACAGGTACTCTTCTTCTCTGGCCTGTGGGACCTGGAACAGACAGGTCGCCTGTTCACGTCCTTGGACCCTCCAGACCCCACACTGGCAGGACTTGGTAAGAGGTGTGGTCTATATAGGTGAGCTCAAGTTCTAGGAACAGGGCCCACCAAGTCCTTCTTCCCAAACGTGGCAGCTGTGTGACTGTGGGCAAGCTCTTTAACTTCTCTGGGCGTCTGTTTCATGGGGCTGATGGGGATAATAGTTCCTGTCTCTGAGTGTTTGTGAGTATGGAACACGATCCAGCTTGGAATGGGAGTACTCACAGGCCATTGGCGAACTCCTGCATGACTGCCGGCATGCTGGTGAAGGTCAGTATGGGCAGCACAGCAAAGGGCAGCTATGGAGAGTGGTGGAGACTGAGGGACCCTGCCCTCTGGTACAGCACGAAGGGAGTGGGATAGGGGTGACTGTCTTCTACCTGGTGGGGTGGGGAGCCTTTGTCTAAATTTTCCTAAGCTCTGGGGAGTCTCATCTGTATGCCTTACAAAGCTGGAGGGACTCTGGCCCCTGCTGCTGGAGTTTCAATCCCAGCTCAGCCTCCAGTCGCCTAAACGCATACATTGGTTTTCCCTCTGTGGAGTGGGCACTGGGGACTCTTGCTCCCTAGGTGGCTGTGGGATCCTGTGAGCTTTAGCCTGGCAGGCTGCGTGGGCTCCATATGGGGGTGGGATGGGTGGCTTGCTTGGACCACCCATCTCACCAGGAGACTCTGCAGGACATTGAGCAGGTCGTTGAGGCCAGACAGGTCCTTCAGATCTCGGAAGATGGCCACCAGCACTGTGGGCAGGATGGCGCAGGAGCGAGTGAGGAGGACACGTGCAAAGCGGGACCACCTCAGCCTCAGAAAGCCCTGGGTGGGAGCAAACACCTTGGTGGAGCGGAGCACCCTTGGGTGTCTCAAACTTCCTGGCTACACCCCATGCCATTTGTCCATCTCGTAAATGGGAACAGCTGTGACCCTGGTTGGTAGGGAGAGGATGGGCGGGAAAACGGGGGTTCCCATAACTGTTTCTGAACATGGTTTTGGGAAAGGCTTCTGTCTGTCCCCTCGCCCCTCTTCAGCTGTTTTCTCATCAGTAGCCTGGCAAAGCCCAGTATCCGAGCCTCCAGCAGCGTGACTGCTGTCCTTGGCCCGTGTGTCTTCAGTGCCCACCTCCATCACGAACTGTCCCGCGTAGGTGCCGGTCATAGTGGAACTCTGCCCAGCTGCCAGGAGACCCACCGCCCAGATGTAGAGGGCTGTGGGACCGAAGAGGCAGCCTAGGATCACACCCTGCAGGGACCGGGTGTGGTCAGGCCGAGACCCGCCCACGAAACGCCCCATGGTGGGCGGGGCCAGGCAAGGTACCGCTCCTGGCTCTGCCCCCACCCCCGGCCACTTACCCCTTGGTAAATGTCCACTGACACTGTGTGGTTGTCCCTGGGGAAGATCTTGGCGTAGTCTCGGAGGCTGCTGTTCGCACAGATGTTGAACTGCGGTGGAGTCAGTAGAGGAACGTGGGAAGTACACACTTAGTACTGGAAAATAAGACAACCCCA